TCTCGCAAGCAAAGTTGACCCACACAACAAAGTAAAGCTATTTTTCGGCTATGAGCCCAACTCGGAACCCGCCGTCTTAGTCAGAGGTCCCTTTACTACGCTTCGGAGCCGCGGACCTTCAGTAACAATAATAAATCACAGCAATAGTACATTCACATAGTTGTAAACAGCATGATAATATATTAAGTAATCCAAAGTATTCAGAATACGTTACAGAATACATTTTGGGGCATGTATTCTGTAATCTGTAATGGAATACATTTTAAAAGTAACCTTCCCGACACTGACTATACTATACTCAATAAATTAAGCTGTAGATAGCAGCTGGTCTGCTAACCTTGTGAACTGAAGCCTAAAGTTCATCCATGCCTTCGGTAAGACAGAAAAAGGTGGTGATATTAATGTTTCTGTGCATATAATTTTCATCGAATCTGTCTCTGATGATCACACTGGGAAACTGGCCAGGTTCACATTAAAGATTTCTTGATGATAATGAGAAACTCTTCTTTGTCTTCTGTAGCAGTAGGTGAGAGTCTACCTCAAAAGTAAAAATCTACTAAGCAGCAGTGATGCTTATATCTGGCTAATTTGCACCATAGTGTAAAAGATGAATGTAGCCTCTGGCTCTGAGAAGCAAAGCCAATTCAGGTAATGCCTTTTAATGGCCACCAGGGGGGGATACCTGTTGCATGAAAAACCCTGTAGAAGTCTTTGGGGAAAGGGCTCTCAGCTCTGACTGCAGTAAGCACTTTCCTGATGGGCTCACTCATTTTGGTTCATACCTAATATAACATTATTTCCATTTTATACATTTTGGTCATTCTAAGAGTCAGAAAGCAGGATTAACTGGATATACGTCTTGGCTAATGACTCATGATTTTTAAGTTGTTAGCTAACAAACGTGCTTGCTGGTTCCAGTTTGAAAACGCCAACACTGTGATGTGATGACAGTGAAAACTTTCTTCTCAAGGAGTTCACAAACCAGTGACGTCACAGTAGCTACACCCATCTAAATCCATGTGATTCGTGAAGATTATTCTTGATTTTGCTGATAACCTATTTGTTTGGCAACAAATCACATCTTGGGCATAACCAACAATTAATCTCATCCCAGTGGGAATGCGAATTTCGCAGTAATCCATCCAGTTGGTGTTGAAAACAGAAAAAAGGTCAAACATAGTCCTGTGAAAAAAATATTTTCCCAGGGCTCTGTGCGGCCCTGTGAAAGTGCATGCCATGATTCAATTGTTTGTAGAACCACCTTTAGCAGTAATTATAAGTAAGTTGAAGTAATTGCTTCTGTAGGACTTTATCAGTCTCTCATTGTTGAGGAGGAATTTTGGCCCGCTCTTCTTTACAAGGTCCCACTACAGTATTTGAGCTCTGGACTTTGACTGGGCCACTGCAACACCTCGATTCATTGATTTTTCAGCAATTGTGTTGTAGATTTGAGATGTGCTTGGGATAACTGACCTGTTGCATTACCTCATATGGGCCAAGTTTAGCTGTCAGACAGATGGCCTCACATTTGACTCTAGAACACTTTGGTTTTGGTTTGGTTCATGGTCAACTCAGTGACTGCATGGTGCCCAAGCCCTGCAGCTGCAAAACAAGCCCAAATCATCACCCCTTTACCATCGCCACTGACAGCTCCTATGAGGTGTTTGTTTTCGCTGAATGCTGAAAATGTGTTAAGACACCTGAGAATGCTGCACACCTACAAACTGCCAAAACTTCTGATTTTATAGAGTTGTTTTGATTAGCAGGACCTGGTTGCTACTTACCCTATGCGGTAGATGAAACGTGAGAGGATCACTGAGGTTAGCGTGGTTCATTTTATGGGGGACATGAAAATTAAATTACTTTATGTGTCCATGTGATCAGTGACACCTATAAAAAATATAATGCTAGGCATTTGTGTTTCAGGTCTACCTTTAGTAATTCACCTGTTACACAAACCTTACACATTATACTGTTGGACAGCATCACGTCCCTCTCTATATAAATCTGTATATAATTACATACAAGTGTAACCATCAGACATAGAAATTCTCACAGTCTGGAAAAGACCAATAGTTAAAATGTTCTCTATTACTGTAATTACCTAAATGACCTTAGATACTTTCCACTTGAACATTATTAGAGGAGGACATTTCTATGTAGTCCCCCCCTTTACCTCTTTCTCTCTCTCCGTTTTGTGGGCAGTTGGAGGTCAGCATTGACGCAGCACTGCTCCATAAACCACTGGAATCACTTACTGCGTGTGCATTCTATTGTTTCATTATGTGAAATGGAGCAACAAGTTGGACAAACACTCGCTGAGTTATTGTGGGAACCGACCTGGTAGTCCTGTGCGTGTGTGTTTTGATGATGACGTCAGATTACTTTCCGTGTTGGACGCTTGGAGATTTGGCTGGCCATATTTGAGTTGGAGAGCACCGCTTCCTGTGACGCTGTGTGCTGCATAGAACAAACTTTTACATGCCTTATCACAATGATTAACACAAGAGAAAATCCTGCCAGAGTAGCTCTGTGTACGTTTAAGCTGTTTAATTTTAGCATTAAATAACATCATTAAGAGAAAAAAGATTCCACATTTCCATAATCATTTGTTGATGTTGTTAACACTGGAGAAATTTCATTTAACCTTTAACACCACCAAGTGTTAAACAAGACCCTGAAACCCCTATTAGCACAACTCCAAGACCACTAAATTTAAGACAACATCATGATCTGAAACACAGGAAAAAAGGATTGGACAGAAAAAACAGGGCATATATCAGACCAAATGAGGGATATGTATAATACTGGAATGAACTATAACTGAAGCACTGGTACTGGATGAAACCCTGTTAAAACTAGTGCCCCAACACCAACAAGAAATAGTGGCCAAAAAAAATTCAGAGAAGGTGGCTAACAAACAGATATTTAGCCAACTATGCCAAAACATCACAAGATGGAAACACACTAGGGCTAAAAATAATAACTAATCTGAATCAGGACTGCAACATCAAAAGGTTAGAAGACCAAAATATGGCAAATACCAGACTGAACTGGCGACAAAGCATCAGTGGATACTGGCTCAAATCAGGGTTTGAATTATACTAGGAAAAACATTAGATTGGAAAATATTGAAAGAAAAATTAATAAAGGCAGCAAAACAGAAAAAAGGACTAAACATTATGTCATAACTGACCAAACTAGGGCTTAAACCCCCCAAAACACTAATACCAAGCCCTGGCCTAGAAACCTAGGTCAGGATATCAATGGGATATCAATCCCTGCTAGGTGACTATGGTTTCAAACCACGAGTCCAAAAACTAGAGCTAAAATGTAAGGTGATAACATATAAAACTCCTAACACATTACAAAATTATTAAATTGATTTATAGATAGAGATATATAGATTAAACCCTGGCTAAGACATCAGAGTAATTCTGACCAACATGTGAAACAACATAACCAAAATATTGGATTACACCTGCTACAGAGACTCATTAAGCAGGGATGTCAAACTGTATGTGGGCCACATTCAGCCCACTTTGATCTTAATGCGGGCGAGTGAAACTGTTCTTTCTGTCATCATAAAAATCTTTAATTAACATATTGAATCCCTGAGATATCCTAATATAAAACAGAGAAAAGCAATTTCTACAGCACGTCTCAGTCTTTTTACATGATAATTTGTAAAATTACAAAGTTCTGGTTGCTCACTGTCCAGACTGTCCTGTAGTTTCAAAACAAAATTTTTGTTGATTGAACTGAAATATCTAAATTAGAAAGTAAAACACAGGAAATTTTCTGACATTTAATTGTTTGTCTATTATTTTCTGTCTATTACAGTTTCGGTGTAATATGAATGGCTGTGGGGGGGTCTTTATTAGCAGAAAAAAGCTGTAAAATGTCTGATAATATAACTTAAAGTCCAAAAATGTATGTCCTCCATCATATTTTCCAAAGCTGTCTAGCGGGCTGGATTGGAGTCTTTGCTGGGTCAACCACTTTTGTGATTTGGCACTATATAAATATTATAAATACTATATTATATTGAATGTTGATAATATTGTATCAGTATCAGTGAAGCTATAGGAAAAGCTAGGGCAAAAACACCCTAGGATATGGCAATATACCAGACTACATCAGATTCATGTTGCATAGAAAAAAAATGAAAAAGGGTTAAAACATTGACGAGAAAATTGACCAAGCTAGCACTGAAACGTTGTCAAGTGCTCTTACAAAACGGGCTGAAATACAACCAAATATTTGACAGCACCAGATGTGATGACACATGAGAAAAGCCAAAGAAACATTTCTACTTGTGCTTTTTAGTTTTATTTCAATGAGTGTTTAAGAACTTGATGAACAGATGTTGGGGGGGGAAAAAAAAAAGGATTTAAAGCAGCTTTAACTTCTGTCAACAAGGTCGGCCGGTGTCAAACTCTCTGCTGTGTCAGCACTCAGGAACATGAATAGAACCACTCAGCCTCCAGAAACAGACTACACCTTATCCCAGCACCAGGTGTGTTTTCAGTCAGGCAGTCAGCTGAAGTCAACACGGAGCACAGACCAGAGAGGACAAGAGCGTGGAGGACTAAAGCGGAGGAGGATAAGGAGGTGTAATGGCAGTAAATCCATGAAAACATTTTCTCTTCCCTCTCATGGAAACTGCAGCTGAGAAAACACTGCTGGAAATTAGTACTCAGGAACTACTGGAAGCAGTACACACACACACACACACACACACACACGCACGCACGCACGCACGCACGCACGCACGCACAGTGGCTAGTTCATGCGGCTACTGGTCTGCTTTGTTAAACTTTACTCCCATCAATAAGAAACACTGAAATTCTGAGAGTTCAGCTTTATTGCTTTTAATCTGGTGTAGTTCAAGGTGGTGAAGCCCTATATGAGCCTTTATGGTATGAATCAGCCTCAATTTTAAGGCCGATTTTTAAAACAAAACAAAAAAACCCCAAAAACAGACACACTCCAGCTTATCTTGTCTAAATGTTTAATGGTTCACACTGCTACGAGAAGTCCAGAATTCAACATATCAGGGTGTTCGTACAGAGTAGTGTGGCACTGAGTGTTAGTGTGTTTACATGAACAGAGTTACTGTGCGATAATGAGAATACTGTTTATTTGAGGCTGTGTTCAGACAGCAGCAGCAGCAAATTGCAGTTCAATTAAAAAAAAAAAGAAAAGAAAAAGACTTTGCTCACTGATCACATCTGTCAGAGTAGGGACAGCACAGGTGGGAATGGTAACAGTTTGGATGGCTGCTGTGACAACAACAACAAAAAAAGTTTTTCAAATGACTTTAAAAGTAGAGGTGATGCTCATACATTTTTCAGATGTAAGAGATTAACATCCAAGGAAAAGTCTGCAAAGCCTGCCATTCCTCTGAGAAGAAAACCACAAAACACACACACAAAAGGGAATGCTTAAGGCAAATGACGCCAACTTACCTTGGTCACACGACCAACAGTAGAGTATTTTTATTGTCAATCTGTGCAAAAGCCATTATTTTATATGCTTCATCATCATTATATCCATTCCCCAGATTTTGTGGCCAACCCAACAGCACATTATGTCAAGGTAATGCACTTCATGTGTGCTACATGTCAGTATATAGTATGTGAATATCATAATGGGAATACGTTTTTACTTTGCCTCTTGCACAAAGTCAATGGCTGCGTCCACAGAGAACTCCAATAAAAGCCTAGAGTTTAGTCGCAACAAAAATAACGTGTTACAAAGTCCCTTTTTTAATATCTACCTACAATTTTAAACGAGAAATGTTAAAACTGGTTAACCATTCCGTTTTCTAACATTACCAACATGATTTTTTTTTATTATATTTTTGGATTCTACTCAGTTAGCTTTGGATGATTCTCAGCTCAAGATAATCCTTATTTTTCTTGGCCTTGGTGCAGTCTATTTTAGCTCCCTTCGCATGCCATTCAAGATCACCTTCTTCTGATTGGCTGCCCTTCATAAATAGGTTTGGACATAATGTTGGTGGAGCTTTTGTGCTCCACAAGAGATATGTACCAATACAGGATCCATGTAATACAGATTAATATTACCGAATTTAAGAGAAATGCAACAAGCACACATTTAAGGACTTTTTGTCTGCCATCGTGTGTGTTTTCTGACTCGCGACTGTCATTTTATGAATTTATCACATATTCATAATTTTTTTTAGTCAAATGATGAAAGACCCCTTGCAAATATAAAAAAGGTTTTATGGCCCACAGTTGGCTTTCACATGTACTGAGATGTGTATGTAAATGTATGAATATTTTTGGTGCAGAACGTCCAGTTTTGGATATATCAGACATAGAAACATTGACACTACCAACACTACAGTTCTGACGAGGGTGACGCCATCAGCGTTTACATCCTGTCACGAGCAGACGCAGGCATCCTTATGCACGGTGATATGGTGGATTCCATTTTATTTTGGGGTGAACTCTCTCTTTAAGTTACGGTCACATTCCTCTTCTATTTAAAATTTTACTTAGAAAAAAAAAAAAGTCTTTATTGGTCACGGTGTGGGTCGCACAAATATAGTACTAATTTTTAACAGGTACCAAAACAGTAAATTCATGTTAGAATATGTTTGCTGGTCAGATTTGAGGGGAGAATAAACATTTGTTAAACAAAAGCATAATGGAACTGATGTCCTACATCTGCCCCCCACCCCCATAATGCCCACGTAAACCATCAGCCAACAAGAAATCATAATACTGAATGCCATATCAAAGCAGTAAGATTTTTGGTTTTATTCTTTACGTACAACTGCTTTAAAAAAACGGTTATAAAAAGCTTTACAAAATGTTTAAAAATGTGTTATTCATGTCTAACAAATTTGCAAAATGTGAATTTTACAGGCAATTTTAAAAAGGGCTTTTCTTTTATTTAAAACAGTGCCACACAGAGTTTTGATAATTTGTATCTCTTTATATGGTTGTTAGTCTTCAACTTGTTATCCATATCTTTGCAGTCATTTACTGTCTTTTTACACATCTATGTGACTGTTTTGAAGCTCTTTGCAGATTTTAAAGTTGGAATTTGCCAAAACAGAAGGCTGTGACCTGTGCTCATGAGGCCCATTCAGTAATCCATTGATAACTGGATCTAATGATATTCAGGAAAACAAGTTTCTGCTGCTTTCTACTCACACTGCTGTCTGAACAAAGCACAGATATCCACGTTTCATTTTCTTAGGAGCTCAGTGGAAGGCAGGTCATGGCTACAGATGTATTCAAAATGTCCAAGTCCAAATGGCTTTCGTATCATTCAAATGTTGTCCATCCCATCACCATGGTAACATGGCCAACATCCAGGATTGATAAAAACTGTAACCATGAAGAGGAGCTGTGTAGCCAACACAGCCACCGCAGGGGGAAAAAGTAAAAAATAAAAGTACATGGCTGCACGCAATTTTAAGCTCCTCCCTCTTAACTGAGTGCTTTAGGTGTACACACACACATACACACGAACACACACACACACGTACACACGAACACACACACACACACACACACACACACACACACACACACACACACACTCACACACTAATTGATGTTTGTGCAAAGGAAGTAAATGACAAAACTGACTTCAAACAGTGGCAGATGAAGAGATGAACTACATTCAGCTACAACAGCCTGTAATAGTGCAATATCTACACACACACGGTCACACGCACACAAAGTCGGAAGATCTCAGTGGCGACTCTGAATTCTCCTGTGCAGCATCTGGTTCCATCTCTGGACAGAAGGAAAGACAGAAAAGTGAAAGATGATCAGCCCCATCTTTGGAGACAATAAGCAACTAAAAATACAATCCCTAATAAAGATCCTTGGTTGCTGCTCTTCACCATTGGATTGATCACTATTGCTGTCAATGTTACTTTTCTAGAGAGGGTACTACAATCAATGTATTAGTCACTGATCGCAAAGTGTGACAGCATTGTAATCATTTATGCTCAAGCCTATGGCGACTAACTTGCTGCAATCTTCCCCTAAATGATACATGTTCAAAGAAAACAAAAAAGGTAGTAAAAACAGAAAACAAAGCAAAACATGAATCTTTGTTTTTAAAAGGTTTCAGCAGAGCTGTTCAGTTTTTCCAACTGTTGAAATCTCCCTCTAAGTCTCTGGGGAATCCCGATGCTCCTGCTCTGGTACATTTCAAACATTAACAACACTACAGTGCGCTGAGCAGTTTCGGTGCATGCTGCCATGTGCAATGACAATGATGGGCGCGTGTTTCACCACAGTCACAATGCCAAATCTTCAGAGTGTGAGAAAACAAGAGCTGCAAGCCTGTTCCAAAGAAAACTGATGATTTATTTTAAATTGCTGACTCAGTTTTGCCTGAGTAGTAATTTGCTCATAGTTGGCAGAAGATGGGGAAAAAAAAAGAAAAGAGTTGAGAGCAAAGGGTCTGAAACCAGTCAGCACTAGAGACTTTCTATTTTAACCCAAAACCAAAATCAGGTATATTTAACTACGCACCTTGACCTTCCTGCCAATTCTATCCTTCCACTTCTGAGCAATGGACCTGTCAATCAGGAGCAACCTGCAAAGACAAAATTTTAACAATGTTTGGCATAGTTTAACAGCTAGCAAAAGAAGAAACTAAAATATGACTTTTTTGAAAAAAAAAGGAAAAAAGTAACATTTGGCTGTGATCAGTAATTTATCACAATAGCACCCTGCAGAGCAAAGGGACAATCGGAAGCTGTCTCAGAAAGTCTGACAGCATACTGGTTCTACGAGTGAGATTTTTCTCTAGATAAAGCACGGGCCCAGTCTCAACAAGTTCTGGACTTCTATCTTACCAACTTCTTCTTGTCAATAACTATATTATCAGTTATATCTTCCACTGCCCATACTTTGAGGTTTCACCGTCCTCGTAGCCCATAATGATGTAATCTTCTCCAGGAGTCAGCTTAGGACACAGGCAGGAGGATGAGTAGTAGAGTGTCAGCGTCATCTTGGGAATGTTGACCAGAGAAGACTTGATCACCTCCTTCACGTCCACCACAGCAGTGGGCTCCAGACCGCGATTCCTCACGTCCTTGACCCTTGCTCTGATCACTGCAGAACAAAGGCACCAGCATGGAAACTGAATATGAGATATTCAGAAATTCCTCTTACCAATGCGCACCAACCCATAAAAACACACCCTTTTGTTATGTTTTTTTAAATTCCTGGTTTAAGTGTGAATCATTATTAAATTTTTCTTGGCCTGGTACCAGACCTTATTAAACACATGCATACCACATTTTACTCGTGAAAACTTTACTGGACAGCACAGCGTGGGTAAGGAAGCTAATGGCATTGAGCAATTTGTCCAAGTCAGCAAGCAAGAAACTCAAACACTGACTAATGAAGCCTGTCTGCCTGAAAAAAAAAAAATTAAACTCCGGGGAACCTGAGTTATGGAAGGTAGTTTGACTTTGGATATCAATGCTAATGCTGAGCTATCGTTTTTCTGCCTAATGTTGGCTAATGTGGCGCCAGTGTCCGGCAGCCTTGCCTCTGTCAGTGCGCCCCAGGGTGGCTGTGGCTACAATGTACCATCACCAGTGTGTGAATGTGTGTGTGAATGGGTGGATGACTGGATATGTAAAGCGCTTTGGGGTACTTCGGGACTAGTAAAGCTCTATATAAATACAGGCCATTTACAGGCCATTTTACCAATGTTAGCTACTGTAATACTAGCATCAAAGCAACTGCAACCCATCTTACATTGGAATATAGCTACACTGTACAAATCTGGCTAAGTTATAGCTAGCTAGCTAACTGTATCATTTTTGCTAACATTATCACTAGCAAAATGCAAGTGGAGACAGTCATATAATGGTACAAATCAAAAGATATAAAACTGATATTTGCACTTTCTAAACAAATAACCAGCTCAGGGCAGTTAGACAGCTAGCTATGACTTGGGTAAGTTGACCTAAATGTTACAAAACTATTAAAGATATATTTAATATTATATATCAGGGGCTAACATGACCAGGACTCCAACTGGCATGTAGTATGCAACATATGTGGTGTTTGCATGTTGATGATATACAAGTTCCCAACTTTTCTGTTGTGCATTTTATTTTATTTAAAAAAAAAAAAAAGACTTGACATGCTCACATTAGAAAATCTCAAGCGCTGACACATGAGGCTAATAGAGAGACAGTCAAGAAACTGATCTTCCAAAAAGCCCTGTGGCCTATTTTTCACAATTAAAACGTGTTTATTAGACTTACTGATTACAAACCCGTCACTTCAAAAGTAAAATAAAAAATGTATATATTAATCATCCAGCAGCACCAGCCCAGAGCACGGAATTTGCTAAACTGTCATCCTAACAAAAACAAACCTATGCAGAAGTCTCAGGGTTAACATACCAAAGAATGCAACTAACGCAGAAAAACAGACATCACTGTAAAGCAAAAAAAAAAAAAAAAAGAAGAAGAAGAAAAAGAAAAAGGCCACTAAACGAGGAAATGGAAGCTACACAGATGGATGAGAAGTAAGCAGAACCAGCACGGCAGGTTGGATTCCAGTGTAATATCAGAATCAGTGTTAATTAGCAAAGGGAGAATGCAAGCAGTAAGATTTATAAAGACCACCTTGTGCACTCTGGCATGCTACCAGGTTTACTAAACTTCTCTGTTTCAATTATATCGGACGGTTTTGAAAGTGGGCTCTTGTTTAATGATTGCTTGGAAAAAAATAAAAATCTAAAAGCTTTCCCAAATGGATTTTGTGGCCAAAAGCATTAGTGAGGACCACATGGAAATCTCTGCTGGATTTGCCAAATCAAGCCTGCGTGCTGTATTCATCAGGAAAAGCCTTTCTGGCCTCAAGCATTTTTGTCTCCAATTTATTTCTAGTTGGAGCACAGAATTGTTTTACTTTTATATTCAGGGAGAAAATATCTGTGTACGAGGTTGTTAAAAACCTTCTTGCGGTTAAGGTATAAAGCAAGTCAAGTACTGATTTTACAGACTTGTGAAAAGGAACAATGGGATTACTCAGATCACATTACTTTAAAGACACTGGTTCATTATTAGTGTCACCAATAGCATCTGAGCATCAAATATGATACAAGATTAGCCACCTGATGAAAGCTAAACAACAAATGACACTCTCTCTCCATAATATAGGCTTTTCCAGGTACTAAACATGAAAAACAAGATCCCAAAATCATCTCAGAGCATCCGATCTGACTTGTATCTCAGTAAAATTATACACACATATATATGAAAATGTGACCTCAAATAAATTATGCATTTACATTAAGTGTAAAAAAGAAAATAAAAATAATACTTTAAACAAAAACTTCAGATGACTCACCATAGTTGTAGTTGTTCTTCTCATAGGTTCTCATATTCATTCTGACTGACTTACATCTGCATCTATCTATGGACACACAAATTACAACTTTTCAAATAAGCACTGACAAAGGAAAGTTTCTTCCAAGCTCCATCTTAAAAATCCACATTTCCCAGTTAAATTTGCAATGCCACATTTGAGTGAGCCAAGAAAGATCATCGTTGCAAGTTTAAATCCACTCAAGATTGTTGCTTGTCTGAGGGCATCTATGAATTTGGTTGTTCTTAAAACATGGACTGATATGACACATTCAAATTTGTTTACTTTCGTGGCCATTTGGACAGCACCCAGCATAGCTGTTGCCTCATGTTACCAATTTTTATACTTCCAATTGGCCAAATGTGGTCTGACTGTAACTATTAAGCTACACTCAGGGCCAAATATAAATATTATCAATACCACTGGTGCAGAATGATGTAAACTACACCAAAGGTCGGACAATATCTAATCTATCTGTGCTGGCCAAAGTTCTTGAAGCTCTTGTGTGTGAGCAGTTAAAGGACTTTTTACACACCAATGCCATTTTATCTGAATATCAACCAGGCTTTAGGAAGAATCACAGTACTATCACAGCTGCAATTAGAGTGGTAAATGATATTACTATTGCACTTGATAAAAAAAACAACACTCTGCATCCCTTTTTATTGATTTGTCAAAAGCATTTGACACTGTTGATCACTGTATTTTAAAACTTAGACTCTTCCAGTCAGGACTCTCTGAGAGAGCAGTGGCATGGTTCTCAAACTACCTCAGTAACAGGACTCAGTGCATTAAATCTGACGGTCTATGTTCTGACTTTGTTACAGTGCACAATGGTGTGCCACAGGGTTCTGTATTAGGTCCCCTTCTATTTATCATTTACGTAAACAATCTTAGTCTACATGTGCCAGATGCAAACTTGCACTTCTATGCTGATGATGCAGTTATTTACAGCTGTGGTTCAACTCTTGTCCAAGCCATTGACTCCTTGCAGAAAGCCTTTTCTGCTGTCCAGCACTCATTACTTCAGCTTAAACTTGTTCTCAGCGCAGACAAAACAAAGCTCATGCTGTTTTCTAAATCAAGGAGACGAGCCCAAACAATCCCATCAGTAACCACTCTTGAAGGTAATAAAATAGAGTTGGTTCACACCTATAAATATCTGGGAATCTTAATTGATGACTCGCTTACCTTCAAACCACATGTAGAGAATCTTGTAAAAAACCTGAAGTTAAAATTGAGATTTTATTTTCAAAATAAGTTGTGTTTCTCTTTTAATACAAAGAAGCGGCTTGTTGCTGCAACATTCTTGCCTGTGCTGGATTATGGTGATATTCTACACTCAACAAAAATATAAACGCAACACCTTTGTTACTGCTCCCATTCCCCATGGGATGGATGTAGAGACCTAAAATTCATTCCAGATACACAATATAACCATCCCTCCCAAACAGTGGTCACAAATCAGTCCAAATGTGTGGTAGTGGGCACATCTGCCATATTGAGATAATCCATCCCACCTCACAGGTGTGCCACATCAGGATGCTGATCTGACATCATGAGTAGTGCACAGGTGTACCTCAGACTGCCCACAACAAAAGGCCACCCTGGAATGTGCAGTTTTGTCTCACAGCAAAATGCCACAGATGCCACAAGCAATGAGGGAGCGTGCAACTGGCATGCTGACAGCAGGAATGTCAACCAGATCTGTCGCCCGTGCATTGAATGTTGATTTCTCAACCATAAGCCGTCTCCACAGGCGTTTCAGAGAATATGGCAGCACATCCAACCGGCCTCACAACCGCAGACCTCGTGTAACCACACCAGCCCAGGACCTCCACATCCAGCAGGTTCACCTCCAAGATCGTCTGAGACCAGCCACCCAGACAGCTGCTGGAACAATTGGTTTGCACAACCAAACAATTTCTGCAAAAACTGTCAGAAACCGTCTCAGGGACGCTCAACTGCATGCCCGTCGTCCTCATCGGGGTCTTGACCTGACTCCAGCTCGTCGCCGTAACAGACTTGTGTGGGCAAATGCTCACATTCGATGGCGTCTGGCACGTTGGAGAGGTGTGCGCTTCACAGATGAATCATGGTTCACATTGTTCAGGGCAGATGGCAGCTGAGAATGTCCCAGTTCTTGCATGGCCAGCATACTCACTGGACATGTCACCCATTGAGCATGTTCGGGATGTGCTTGACCGGCGTATACGACAGTGTGTACCAGTTCCCACGAATATCCAACAACCTCGCACAGCCATTGAAGTGGAGTGGACCAACATTCCACAGGCCACAATTGACAATCTGATAGACTCCATGCGACGATGTGTTGCACTGCATGAGGCAAATGGTGGTCACACCAGATACTGACCGGTTCTGGGTCCCCAGACCCCCAATAGCGCAAAAAACTGCACATTCCAGGGTGGCCTTTTGTTGTGGGCAGTCTGAGGTACACCTGTGCACTACTCATGATGTCAGATCAGCATCCTGATGTGGCACACCTGTGAGGTGGGATGGATTATCTCAATATGGCAGATGTGCCCACTACCACACATTTGGACTGATTTGTGACCACTGTTTGGGAGGGATGGTTATATTGTGTATCTGGAATGAATTTTAGGTCTCTACATCCATCCCATGGGGAATGGGAGCAGTAACAAAGGTGTTGCGTTTATATTTTTGTTGAGTGTGTATATGAATGCTTCTGCTCAATGTCTTCGAATGGTTGATTCTGTGTATCATGCTTCTCTGAGGTTCATCACTAACTGTACCAGACTCACCACTGTGAGTTATACTCTCAGGTAGGATGGCCTGCTTTGGTAAGTCGGAGGAACTCTCATTTATACACTTTTATATATAAGGCGATACTTGGGTTGCTGCCTTCTTATCTATGTTCCCTGCTTGCAATGAAACATGCTGGTCGGTATTCTCTTCGTCCGCATGGCTACTTGTTGCTTTCTGTTCCATTTGCCCGAACTGAACTTGGTAAAAGAGCTTTTGTCCATTTAGCACCCTTGGCTTGGAACAAACTGCAGAAGGAATGGAAAATGACTGAATTAATTTCATTAAGTGCTTTTAAATCTAAACTATGAACCCTTGAGGCCATGTCCATAACATGAAACTGTTTCAATTAGATTGATTGTCATTTTAACTGACCTTTTTATTTTTATTTGAAATTTATTGACTTTTATTGACTTTTATTTTATTCGTATTCTTTCACTTATTGTTGCATGTGTGTTGTTGCTGCCTGTGTTTGAGTAATTTCTGTAATTCTGAGACACCTGCTGCTGCCTATCTTGGCCAGGTCTCCCTTGAAAAAGAGGTTTTTAATCTCAATGGGATCTTCCTGGTTAAATAAAGGTTAATAAATAAATAAATAACATTAGACAGAAGTTACCTCCATCTGGTCCTCTGCAGTGAAAGTCCATTGAGAAGTCTGGACTGGATTCTGTCAGGGGAATCAAACCCAGGAAAGACACGCTTTTTAGTAAAGTATTTTAACAGGTTCATAGTTAATTCATACCAGTGGTTTTCAAACTTTTGGGGTGGGACACAGAGATCTAGATCCCATTGTGCTGACCTTTTACCCATGTTGAACTAATTTTAAAATTGGTGTGTCAGATTTTCCAGCTTCTGAGGTGCGGCAGAAAACGTTTGACAACTACTGACATCGGGTAGTCTAGTGGTCAGAAAAAAAATGCAGTCGTTTCCACACACACACACACACACACACACACACACACACACACACACACACACACACACACACACACACACACACACACACACACACACACACACACACACACACACCAATTCATCACCGTTTGGTGTAATCTGGTTGTGAGGCCTCAAGGTCAGTTTTATTTTCTACTTTAGCCAACTTGAGGTTTTGAAACTTGATGTGATGAACGAGGGGTGGATCAGACAGAAATCGAGGGTGACAGCTGAACTCTTTAACACAAGCAGTCATTGACTAATGATCATATCCTGGATAATGCTGGATGTAATACTGACATGATGAATGAAATTTTTTTTTTATAACATTTAGTAAAGATTTTATTCAATAATGACCCAGAATGAGACTGTGAGCCCCAAAACCCAAGTGTTTACAGATATAAGGGTCATTTTCACAGATTTCATAAGACTAGATGTTTTGGGGTTTTTTTGCAACCCTCAGGTGTTGCCCACTACTGACCATCCTGTAGGCTTAAGGCTTTGCTTTTTAGGCCCTGGAAGATATTTTACATACAGACCATGTTAAGAAAATGGAAATGTTAAGGTTTAGCCTTACCTGGGTTACACCTGGCTGGGTCCTGGTGGTATGGATCTATGGATCAGAAAGATGGCAGTCAGAAATGAAAGAAACTTGTTCTTTTGGTTCGTGATTAAAAATGGTGGTCTTATCGGAATACAACTCAAACAGGTGGATCATTGAGCAGTGTCAGTAATGCACAAACTGCACAGAACAGTCATTATGACTTTGATATTCACTACTTCACCCCCAAGCAGAGAGGTTTCTTTCTGTTAAAAAGGGAGTTTTTCCTTTTGTGTGTGTGTTTTAGAAGCATCATAATTTTGTTAATGTTGCTTCAGAACCAACAGGGGAAGTTTACTTTCAAAAGCTTTTGAGAAAGCACTGAAAGACAGTTTGGATTTTAATGAACCTTTTCACAAAAGTATATTTTTATGAAACTGAAAAAAAAAATAGAAATTGTAAAAACAATGACAATAACAACAACTATTATTATGACGATGACAACTTTATACCTAAACCTAAGTCATCATTACCCCATTGGTTGTCACATGACATGAACTGCAGTTTGAATGTCCATCTCAGTCCGCTTCCTACACCGACTTTGTTGCACATTATCGTCTCTCATCGACTTTCTAAAGCTGTTGTGGGAGCAGATTTTGGTCTTTTTTGCCTAGTTGCAAAGCTATGACATCACCACAATGTGATTAGTCAGTTGCAATAAAAGTTCCAAGAGCAACATTATTTATAGTGTATGAATACCAACAGCATTGCATATATCCTCAAGCCTTAACCTTTTAACCAAGGCACCGTCGACTAAAGTGAATAGCCCTCAGTTTGTTTTGCTTACCCTTTGAGTCAGACATCTGTTACATGTGTAAAGCGAAATTTCCTCCCTTTACACAGAAAGAAGCCAGTAGAGGTTGCTTCAAGTAGGGGGTTTTGTAGTGATATTCAACTGGAAGAAGAGGCTGGAAATTTGCGTCCCACCTGACCAGAAAAATATTTTCAACAAGAAGCTTGTGATCACTGTTACCATTGTGATCTGGACCTGGGCAAAATGGATGGTTAGACTGTCCTGGAGGTTGTGGGAAAAGGTCCAGAAGGAGGGAAAATTAACTTTGGAGATATGTGGGACTTTGGATTTCTTTATTATTATCATCTTTTTATTTATAAATGCTGCCTCCTGCAAGGTACATACGGGCAGCACCCTTCTATAAACCAAACTGAACATTTTCATCCATCTATCTCATCAGAAAGAGCAACTGTGGAAAACGTCAATGTTTCAGAAACTTCCAAAGTTGCTCTGTAAAAACAGGCTTTAGCCTTGGCATCTGTATCGATAAGCCAGGTTCTTAATACAGACCTGAGATGCTACAATAACTTTCTATCTGCAGGGTTTCTGCACCCCCCCCCAAACAAACAAACAAACAAAAAAAACCAACAAGGTTATTTGGCCAGTCATTTTTGTTTCTCCTTTTCCCCCTGATATTGTAAAAACTAGATCATTATGGCAGATTAGCACATTAGCCTGTGGTGTGGCATTTAACTGCTCTGGAGGAGGTGAACTTAAAGAGATCAGACTTAAAAACTGCCTAAATGCCTTAGCCAGATTGGCCAGACAACTGCCAATACAGAGATATGTATTGCAGTTACCAATTTTTTACAGTTTACAGTTCTGCACAGAAAGTATGCCACCCTGGCGGCTGCTGTGCTACATCTATATAAGTCTACAGGGAGTGCAGAATTATTAGGCAAGTTGTATTTTTGAGGAATAATTTTATTATTGAACAACAACCATGTTCTCAATGAACCCAAAAAACTCATTAATATCAAAGCTGAATGTTTTTGGAAGTAGTTTTTAGTTTGTTTTTAGTTTTAGCTATTTTAGGGGGATATCTGTGTGTGCAGGTGACTATTACTGTGCATAATTATTAGGCAACTTAACAAAAAACAAATATACCTGTATACCCATTTCAATTATTTATTTTTACCAGTGAAACCAATATAACATCTCCACATTCACAAATATACATTTCTGACATGCAAAAACAAAACAAAAACAAATCAGCGACCAATATAGCCACCTTTCTTTGCAAGGACACTCAAAAGCCTGCCATCCATGGATTCTGTCAGTGTTTTGATCTGTTCACCATCAACATTGCGTGCAGCAGCAACCACAGCCTCCCAGACACTGTTCAGAGAGGTGTACTGTTTTCCCTCCTTGTAAATCTCAACCCGAAAAGGCCCCACAAGCTCATCTTTGATGATACCAGCCCAAACCAGTACTCCACCTCCACCTTGCTGGCGTCTGAGTCGGACTGGAGCTCTCTGCCCTTTACCAATCCAGCCACGGGCCCATCTATCTGGCCCATCAAGACTCACTCTCATTTCATCAGTCCATAAAACCTTAGAAAAACCAGTCTTGAGATATTTCTTGGCCCAGTCTTGACGTTTCAGCTTGTGTGTCTTGTTCAGTGGTGGTCGTCTTTCAGCCTTTCTTACCTTGGCCATGTCTCTGAGTATTGCACACCTTGTGCTTTTGGGCACTCCAGTGATGTTGCAGCTCTGAAATATGGCCAAACTGGTGGCAAGTGGCATCTTGGCAGCTGCACGCTTGACTTTTCTCAGTTCATGGGCAGTTATTTTGCGCCTTGGTTTTTCCACACGCTTCTTGCGACCCTGTTGACTATTTTGAATGAAACGCTTGATTGTTCGATGATCACGCTTCAGAAGCTTTGCAATTTTGAGACTGCTGCATCCCTCTGCAAGATATCTCACTATTTTTGACTTTTCTGAGCCTGTCAAGTCCTTCTTTTGACCCATTTTGCCAAAGGAAAGGACGTTGCCTAATAATTATGCACACCTGATATAGGGTGTTGATGTCATTAGACCACACCCCTTCTCATTACAGCGATGCACATCACCTAATATGCTTAATTGGTAGTAGGCTTTCAAGCCTATACAGCTTGGAGTAAGACAACATGCATGTAGACGACGCCATCAACATGGCTCTACACTTCATCCTGCAGCATCTGGACTCCCCAGGAACCTACGCCAGGATCCTGTTTGTGGACTTCAGCTCTGCCTTCAACACCATCCTTCCAGACCATCTCCGAGACAAGCTTTCCCAGATGAATGTGCCTGATCCCATCTGCCGGTGGATCACTGACTTCCTGACGGACAGGAAGCAGCATGTGAAGCTGGGAAAGAATGTCTCGGACTCCCGGACCATCAGCACCGGCTCCCCTCAGGGCTGTGTTCTTTCTCCTCTGCTCTTCTCCCTGTACACCAACTGCTGCACCTCCACCCACCAGTCTGTCAAGCTAATCAAGTTTGCAGATGACACCACCGTTATTGGACTCATCTCGGACGGGGACGAGTCTGCCTACAGGAGGGAGGTTGAACGTCTGGTGTCCTGGTGCAGCCACAACAACCTGGTGCTGAATGCCCAGAAGACAGTGGAGATTATTGTGGACTTCAGGAAGCACACAGCCCCACTCCCCCCCATCATCCTGACTGACACCCCCATCACCTCTGTGGACTCATTCCGCTTCCTGGGTACCACCATCACCCAGGACCTGAAGTGGGAGTCCACCATCACCTCCGTCATCAAGAAAGCCCAGCAGAGGATGTACTTCCTGAGGCAGCTGAAGAAATTCAACCTGCCAACACGGACGATGATGCAGTTCTACACTGCAATCATCGAGTCCATCCTCACCTCCTCCATCACCGTGTGGTACGCTGGAGCCACTATCAGGGACAAACAGAGACTGCAGCGTGTTGTGCGCTCTGCTGAGAAGGTGATTGGCTGCAGACTCCCATCTTTGCAGGACCTGTACACCTCCAGGACATTGCGGCGTGCAGCTCGGATCTCAGCTGACCCTTCTCACCCTGGACACAGTCTGTTTGACCTGCTCCCCTCAGGCAGGAGGCTCCGGTCCATTCGCACCAGAACCTCTCGCCATAAGAACAGTTTCTTCCCCTCTGCTGTTGGACACATGAACAATAACCATATGACTGTTCCCACCACTAACACATGACCCTACGCTGTGTAACTGCATCATTCTATGTTTGGCACTGATCACCACCTGCACTCATGTATATATCTTTCAACGTAGCACTCTTAATTCTTATTCTCATGTATATATCTCATGTATATCTCATGCACATATCTTTCCACGTAGCACTTTTAATTCTTATCCCTACTTTTATTTTTTTCCATGTCTATTTAAGTGATATTTATGACAGCATGTTTGCACTGAAGCACCGCAGCAATTTCCTAATGTTGTAAACCTGCTCAACATTTGGCAATAAACCCCATTCTGATTCTGATTCTGATGAAGAGGATGATGTGGACAAAATACTCATTTGCCTAATAATTCTGCACTCCCTGTATATGAACCACCTTTTTAAGCTCACATCACAGAATCTCAATCAGATTCAGGTCAAGACATTGACTAGGCCACTCCATAATCTTAGTTTTGTGTTTCTTAAGCCATTCAGAGGTGGACCTTCTGCTCCTTTAGGATGTTTTGGTAGACGGCATTGTTTTATTTACCACAACAAGTCTACCAAGTCCTGAGGCAGCAAAACAGCCTCAGACCATCACACCATGACCACCAAATTTTACTGTTGGTATGTTGTTCTTTTTCTGAAATGCTCTGTTACTTTTTTACGCCAGATGTAATGGGACAGACACCTTCCAAAAAGTTAAACTTTTGTCTCGTCAGTCCACAGAGGAATTTCTCAAGATGTTTTCTGGCATAGCTGAGACAAGCTCCTTTGCTCAGCAGTGGCTTTCGTCTTGGAACTCTCCCACACAGGCAATTTTTGCCCAGTCTCTATCTTATGGTGGAATCATGAACGCTGACATTTACTGAGACAAGTGAGGCCTGCAGGTCTTTGGATGCTGTTCTGGGGTCTTCTGTGACCTATTGGATGAGTTGCTGCTGCTGCACACTTTTTCACATTAATAATAAACACCTTAATTTAGAAACTGCATTTTGTGCTTTCTTATGTCATCATTGTCTAATATCTAAATGTGTTTGATGATCTGAAACATTTAAGTGTGACAAACATACAAAAAAAAATCTGGAAGGGGGCAAATACCTTTCCACACCACTTTATGTGCAGCTCTACCGAAAAATCAATAGAGGATAGGGAAAAGAGCTATGTGGGGTGGCATCCAATCACGGGAAAAGCATAATACACTGATAATGACCTGGGAATTAGCTTTATGGTACAAGTCTCTGTTCTCCTGCATCCATGTACCTCTAGGCGTGCAAAGGTAACTGGGGTTGTGAGCTGGTGTTTCAATACACTGAAAAACTGCAGCTGCTTCTAGTTGTAGACATACTTCTGTAAAGCAACATGCAGACCAGAGTCCCACAGAAAATCACTGGAATGACTTAAATGATTCACCCCGACAGAACCTCAGCAAACCAACAAATTACACCAAGGGAAAATCCCAAAGCCCCGCTGAGCCAAGCCAAGCTGGGGCAGAACAGAGATATGTGGGTGTATCGTTATGGAGGTCAAGGGGATTGAGATGAAGGTTTTTTCTGGACCTGCTGGTCCTGGATCTGTTTGAAGGAGCAGAGGACAGTGAGGGTTTTATTGAGTGTAAAATGAGTGGGCCTCCTGTATCAAGGAGCTCTTTGAGAAAGTCTGTGGGAGTGAAGTTGGACAGGGAATGACTCATGTTATCTGAGAGGGAGCAGAAACAAACTGCTGAGAGTAGTATAGCATGATAGAAAACACTGATATATACTAAAAATTGCAGTGAGCGATCCTCGTCGGAGTTAGCCTCCATGTTGAGACTCTCGGGAGGAAAAAAAGAAAGAGTGCAGTTCATACCATTTAAGATGTCACTGGTTTTACTATGCAAGAACTGGAGTACGAGTCATTTTCATGTTGTCATAATTCACTCTTAAAGATATCATACATGGTATTATTTATGTGGATCACCTTTGCTATGGTTATTGCCAATGTATATATATTGTACTATTGTAAACCTACAATAACATGGAGAAACCCCAACAATCAGATGAACCCCTTATGAATAAACACTTTGGTGACAGTAGAAGACAAAACTCCCTTTTATCAGGAAGAAACCTCCAGCAGAACCAGCCACATCTGCTGGTCATGGAACATAGCTGCTCTTTATGGCACTTATGTCACTAATCTGCAGAGTCATTTTGTTACTTAATTACACATTCAAAATCAAAAGTTGTGTTGAAATTGACAGAATTCCTAAAAATATCCTGAAACTATGTTAAATAATGAAAACCCAATGTTTTAAATTAAACTCAAATGCTACAAATCTGTGAGACTGAAAAACGCTTGTGTTTAATAGCAATGAAGGGCCATCACGTGAACAAGCTCCCTCTTTGTCTTCACAAAGAAAAATATTTGCTCTTTTTGATTCAGAAAAATCTCAATAGTGAAGCAATATCTGTATTCTGAGGAGACACTCAGAATATCTTTGGTGAAAAGGCTAACCTTCCAATGCAGATAGTCCTTTCATTACTACAGACACTATGAAAGACGGACATAGCTTTCAGGTCTGAAAAATAGAAACCAATGCAAAGCAATTTAAATCTGTCTTCTTTTCTACAAGGGTCGGTGTTTTAGAAATCTGCAGGAAAATTGGCATCAGCCCTGACCTGTATGAACACTTTTCTGAGTTTATGGTTTGAGTCTCTCATTCTGAGTGATATGGAATAAAACGTCATGTCCACTTTGTAATTTTGGTCATTCTAAGTGTTGGAAAGGCAGGGTTATCAAAGTCACCCCTTTCTTATCACATCTGGTCTCAAAATACTAAAAAGGCAATGGCAGAAGCAATCAGGGGCTCATGTTACTGTAGCTACATCCATCTTTCACAGTCTTTGGTCATGCTGACAGACACTGGTATGTGGTATTAGTAAGAGGTTAGAGCCTGCTACATTTTACTTCAGTGGTCAAATACATGAATTAAACAGTGTCTGGCTTCAAATAATCATCTTATGAACTTTTTATTCACAAGCTGATGTTCACTGTCCAAAAAGCTTAATAAAGATTACATTTTAAATTTGAATCAATCATTTGGTCATGCTCACTCACACCTTCATTCAGGACCTCTAAAAAGGAGCTGATTTTAAAGGTTTTTTTTATAATGTTGTTTATGATGTTTTTAATGTTTCTGCACGTCAGCCAGAGTCACTGAACAGCTTCCTGTTACCATCCTTTTACTGTCTCTTGCACTTTTAAATGAAGGACATCCTTCAAGTACCAGCATGAACATTAGCATTGGAAATAGGTCTTATTAGTTATAAAAATGGTGATTACTTGCTTAATATTTTTCCCCCCCCCTCTTTGGATTTTGTGCTTTTTTTAAAAGATTTTTTAATAATCTTTGTCAACGTCAACATCATTTTTGTGATGGTGAAACAAAAACAAACAAAAAACAAAAATACAAAACAAAACAGAAACATAAGAACAATTTCCAGAATTAGGCTGTCTCGGGTCAAAATTGGCAGCCACACATATAACAGCAATAATACAAACGAATGAGTGTACCTGGTCCGTCTGCCTTGACGATGGCCTCAGGAGAGATGCAGACTCCACGGTCATAGAGTGGCAGCTCGCTGCAGGCCAGGTTGTCGGGCCAGCTGTGGTTGTAACGCTTCATCACCGGCTCACAGCCGAGCTTCGCCCGCTCGCACACTGCCTTACAGGGCTTGATTGGCTCATGCTGGAAGTCAATAGTACAGATTGGCGCGTACATGGCACATAGGAAAAAGAGCAAATCCGGACTGCAACCAGTACCTTGAAGAAGAAGGGAAACATAGGTTATATGTGCAATTTCATTAGAGAGCATAAATGATGAGCAGCTGAAATGACAAAATAGAAATCAGTGGGGTGGCAGCTATTGAATTTAGTCCACCCGCCCTGGAGTCACTCCCCCGCCCACACCAGGTGTATCATGTACACCTGGTGTGAACTCTTATGCCATTGTACTGTTTTAAGTAGAACTTGAGATTTTTCCAGGTAAAATAAGGTAAAATAAGGTCAGTGTAGTTTCCCACTCTCACTCTGTGTATATGAGTTCCGTGTACATCCAACACCCTCCCTCCATAAACTCAATACTTTTGAGCATCCAAGCAATCAAGCGGTATAAAGACATTTTTCCATGGATTTGTATATAAAGGCAGAATCGGTGGAAAGATGTCTTTTTGCAATAAAAAATAGCTGCAAATAGCTCTAAATACAGATGTTTTGCTAGAGGCAGCTGTAGTCACAATATTTATGGATTACAGCCCACATGTAAATATGCAATGTTACTCAAGAAAGTTACACAATATCTTATATGGTTAAAATAAATAAATAATGAGGACAAATTGGAGCACTTAGGAAAATATGTTGTGAACACCTGCAAGCATTTAAAAAACAGACATTTTTAGCAAATGGTGTCCATCCTGGAAATATCTTTTTTATTTTCTTTTTAAATCCATGTGGTAGCAACACAAGTCATTGGTGATGCTGACTGGAAGCTCCTGTGACTCCTACTCTGGAGAAAGACGAGGGCATCCAAAAGTTAGCTGCTCCATTTCAAACAGACCCATTAATAAAGTGACCTTCCACACTTTTCACTAATAGTGAGTCAGTTAGTACAATAACTCGTACTACTAGCTAGCATGACGGAGTTTCTATACAGCTGGGTGGGTGCTATGATGTTACTGATAATGAACTTTATTTTATTCATAAGGTTAGTTAGTAGAGTTGCCAACTGTCCTGTAAAAAACGGAATCGTCCCGTATTCAGAGAAAATATTATGAGTTTCATATTGAGCTGAAAAGGAGCACAGTTTGTCCCGGACTTCAGCTAGAATAGAAAAAGACATAGCTGGAGTTATTCAATTCAATTTTATTTATATAGCGCCAAATCACAACAAAAGTCGCCTCAAGGCGCTTCATAGATACAGAGAAAAACCCAACATTCATATGACCCCCTATGAGCAAGCACTTTGGCGACAGTGGGAAGGAAAAACTCCCTTTTAACAGGAAGAAACCTCCGGCAGAACCAGGCTCAGGGAGGGGCCATCTGCTGCGACCGGTTGGGGTGAGAGAAGGAAGACAGGATAAAGACATGCTGTGGAAGAGAGACAGAGGTTAATAACAGATATGATTCAATGCAGAGAGGTCTGTTAATACATAGTGAGTGAGAAAGATGACTGGAAAGGAAAAACTCAATGCATCATGGGAATCCCCCGGCAGCCTATGTGTATTGCACCCTGAATCCTCCCAAACTAAGGGAGGATTCAGGGTCACCTGATCCAGCCCTAACTATATGCTTTAGCAAAAAGGAAAGTTTTAAGCCTAATCTTGAAAGTAGAGATAGTGTCTGTCTTCTGAATCCAAACTGGAAGCTGGTTCCACAGAAGAGGGGCCTGAAAACTGAAGGCTCTCCCTCCCATTCTACTTTTAAATACTCTAGGAACAACAAGTAGGCCTGCAGAGCGAGAGCGAAGTGCTCTAATAGGGTGATATGGTACTACAAGGTCATTAAGATTATTCTGCGTCTTTACGTTGTACAGCTGCCTCTTCTTCTCTCATTCTCTCCCCCTCCCTCTCCTTTTGCTGCTTCAATCATGAAACTGATCAATGATCAGCTGATCGGCTCTCTTGTTTGTTTATCGCCCACTTTGCGCCAGAAAGAGGAAACCAGCGGATGTCGCGTTAAACAACAGCAGTACGTTTAAGCTTGATCAGCTGTTGTTAGAATTTATTTCATATTAATTTCTAGTATCAGCTGATGTTTGCTGGAGCCACAGCTGTAAAGCTGCTGGTCATGATGTCGGTTTGGATATGTGGTGAGAGGGAAACATAAAGATGAAACCAGGAGATGTCCTTACTGAATCATCAGAGCTGAACAGGTGATGGAGAAACAGGTTTACCTTTTAGGTGACATAAATGAGTTGAAGGGACGTTATGAACGGTTTCTGAGAGACAACTTACACCAGGATCCTTTTCTAAGTAGCTGACAGCTGGTAACTGTGCAGGGGCGGGTCTAGCAAAGTTTTGCCAGGGGGGCAGGTAGGGCATTAATAGGGAGAGGGGGGCACAAAGAAATACTTTTATTTCTTATTCTCATTTAAAATTTCTAGCTTTTATTAAATAATTATCTGAATCTTTCAACCAAAGTTTTTATCTGACGTAAAATGTATAGAAATCATACATATACCAACAAGATTGTACATCACTGTCACAACAGCGTTTGTTTTCATTCAAAGGCTTTATGACTTTTCCTATAATACCTGGTGGGCCGGTCTCTAGTTAAAATGCCCGGGCCGATTTTTGTCCCAGTCCAGCCCTGGGCACGACCGGTTGGGGTGAGAAAAGGAAGACAGAGAGGTTGTCACCAAGTGCTCATCCACTGGGAATTCTTCACCTTTTAAATGGTATTTCAGAATTACCCCATATGGAAAAGATATATATAAATCTTATAAAGTTTGTATCTGTCTTGTGTGAAACTTGTATGAAAAGCATATAAGAGTGAAAACAGATATAAGATCCCTTGAAAAATTATATAATGAAACTTGTATGTTTTGGATACTTACTAAAACAATATATGAAGGTAATGAGAAAGTGGCCACTTTCATGAGTAATCACTTATAAGTTTTTACTATTTCTTTTCCATATGGGACGTTACATGCTATGACCAAGAAGCTTTCATATCCACACTTGTTGTAGAAATATTTAAGGACGGTTGTTCAGTCTCAGCTCACTTAATTTGAGCCCTCTAGATAGACTCATGTCTTCTTCATGTCAGTGAAGACATGGTGCATTCAGGGACCCCTGGCTGAACAAACACTGGACTTTTACCATCTGCCATCCTGCTGCATGTTTCAAACAGGATGAGACCAGAAAGAGTTTAGCACTGGGTAGAGGATGGATCAGTGCTTTTATTGCAGAGTGGGTCTGAGGTTTGGCTGTACCACTTCACAGTGAAGTCACAGAAATAGCTTGAACTTGTGACCTCAAACTGCTTCCTGGTTGTTGGCCCAGAGCTCTTTCATTAGGACATTTTTCTGGTTAAAGCAGAGTCCTTTTTAACCACTTTTTAAAATCTTCATTCCGCCCACCTCAGCCAAGCTCAAAGTTCAGCCAGCACCTAAATGTATTTATTGAAGACAGACATGGATAAATTATGAACTAATATGGCAGGAAATGAGACTGCAGAAACCTCAAATAGTGAAGATTACTGATGAATGTGACCACATATGCAGTTATCAATGCTTGTCTCACATGGAAATGTGAAACGGTCGCTTATTACAAGTTAAACGACTGGGAGAAATGATCCGATTAGAGAAAAAAATAAGAATGAACACCTATACATATTTCAAATTTAAATCTACCTTAGCAAAGAATACAAAATATGGTTGTAGAAATGAATTTAAGTCAAACTGCTGGTTTGAAGTAAGAAAAAGGTTGGCTTTTACAACAAGGACGTTATTATACAGCCCTACTTTAAAGTATCTTATTCACCATTTTAAGTTAGCAAATTTTAGTATGCTAACACACCGTGTGTGTGTGTGTGTGTGTGTGTGTGTGTGTGTGTGTGTGTACACACACACACACACACACACACACACACACACACACACACACACACACACACACACACACACAATTTATCATAAAACAAAAAGTCTTGAGCCAGCGCATATTTCTGTATATTTTGAAAGATTTTCTTTGCACATTGGCTACCTTTTTCTCTTCCACCACTGCTCTATCCTCTTTCCACCTCATGTCTCATTACCTACACAGTGGTTGGGGCTCTAACACATGAAAATGTGCATGAACGGGTTTATTTATTCTGATGTTGTCAGTTATTTCAATGGATTCTCACGTGATGACAGTGTATTCGCCAAGTGTGCAAGGATCCAACAGGCTAACAGCAACTAACAGCAGCAAGAAAGCAGCGTTTACTAACAGAAAAGGTCAGGAAATCCTCAACCACTCACACGAGTTGTCTGTCCCACAGCCGCTACCTTAGCTTCAATTAAGCACTTGAAACAGAATTCAATTGACTGCAATATACTGACATCTAGTGGTGACATTTTACACACAGTATCTCTTAAATAAATAATAAAAGAAATCCAGCCTGACACAGAACCTGAGAGCTGCATCTGGCCCTTCCACTGATCCATCTAATTCAGGGGTCCCCAATCCCAGTCCACGAGGGCCGGTGTCCCTGCAGGCTTTAGATCTCACCCTGGGTCAACACACCTGATTCACATGATTAGTTCATTACCAGGCCTCTGGAGAACTTCAAGACATGTTGAGAAGGTAATTTATCCATTTAAATCAGCTGTGATGGATCAAGGACACATCTAAAACCTGCAGGGACACCGGCCCTCGTGGACTGGGATTGGGGACCTCTGATCTACTGTTTGGCTCTTTGAGGCATCATCATAACCGGTCTCAGTAGAAGGGTGGCTGTCAAGAACCCATCCTTAAGGAAAGGGAACAGGGCAAAAAAAACCCAAACTGAGGCACGGAAAATTACCCAAGGCCTGGACTGGAAATCAGTGGCAACAGGTATAGTAGAGTAATGAAGACTCTTTGAAGCAAAACATTTTAATTATGGAGTTAATATGTAAGGAGTAGGTCAGGAGAGAGGTACCCTCTGAAAGTTTGGAATTTATGGTTCAAACTGCTGTTAGTATGGATGGAGGAGATCAGCCAAAGTAACCAAACCAAACCTAACTGTGGCAGCCTGCCCAAACCTTTAATCAGAACTCGTATTTAGTTTAGTTAGTTTATTTTTAACCAGACAGTGATGGCATGTGTAGAGAACGTGCAGGATTGAAAAGCAATGTTACTTGCCAAATCCTACAGAGAGATAGTAATATTTGATATCCGCAGATATGCTCCGAGGCAGTTCCTGTTACAGTTTACTTAATAAATGTAAATTTTATGCATTTTGACTGAGGCGATTCTACTTCCACTGTCCTCTATAATGACCTATTCCACTTGAGTGGAAGGAGAAAAGACTATCTAAATCTAATTTGCCTAATTGTATTGGTCTGATGGATTAGAAACTTTTACTTAACTGAATTACCACATACATCAAATGGTAGTGAAAATAAAATCATAATGAGGGGAAAAAAGTTAAAGCTATTTTTTTAAGGAGCTAACTAGCCTTGATTAGCAGCTACAGTAAAACTGTAACATTTCATGTGGTTGAACTACTTTTAAATCATATAATGCAAAACCGATGTAAAGTCACCTGCAATAAAAATAACGTTTTTTGTTAACCTGACTTGCTAGAATATATATGAGTGAAATAAGTAGTGAGACGTGGCAATTTCAAAAGACAAAGAATCAAGAATAACTTTTTCTTTAATATGCGAAAGGAACCAATCCTATTTATTTCCACTGTGGGGCTAACTTATCAGGCAAACAGTCTCCCTGATGGGAGACTTTTAGATTTGGAGTTGAACGGTTATTATGTGTGGCTAAATTATTCCAGTTATCACTATTATTATCATTAGTAGTAGTAGCAGCAGTAGTAGTAGTAGCCTTAAAGGCATGCAAGGTAGTAGGGCGCGTTTTTACGTGAACTTAAGCACTGCACCGACATTCAAGTGTAAAATGAATAAGAATTATTTTGTACTTTGAGCCGCACAAAGCTACTCTCATGGAGTCTGGAAATAATAACAAAGGAGCATATCAGTCCCCTTCAATGGAAGAATACCTCCTATTATATCTAAGTAAAATTAACAGGCCCCTTTATCTTAAAAAAAAACAAACAAAAAACAATCCCATAATCCTACAGTTTTTACAGTTTTGCTCAGGATTTATAGCTCAACCAGCCACGCTTAAAATGAAGAGAAGGTGGTCATTTAAAATAAATGAATAATAACTTCTGTGCCATTTTCCAAGGTTCTCATTATTTCTAGTTCTGAAAAAAGATTTCTGCTCAGAAAACGCAGCACTTTCAAAACTATGTGTAAATGAGTGTTGTCGGTACAGACGGCCATACTTCTAATATTTAGAAACATGAGGTCAGAGGTCTAAAGACTAAAATTTGCCAATTGGATGCAATAGGTGACCAGCTGATGTCTGCTGGCATTAAGGTCAGCTTACCTGCTAAGTGTGCTGACTCCACAGCCTGCCAAAGCTAAAACTTTTGAAAAGTGAAAGCCTCCCGGCAGGGTTAAGCAGGGTCAGAACTTGCTGTCAATTACTCCACTGATTATGTTCCTGATTGATTTTTTATTTTTGCCTACAATTTACTACCAGACAACTAACATGGCCATCAAAAGTTCCCACAGTCTAAAGTGACATGTTCACAAGTCTTGTTTCTTCCTACAAAGCAAATGGACCGACATTTTGTTCACAGTGTTACAAAACAGAAAATGAAAAGAGCCGAATTGTTTTTGCACTATTTGAATGAGTGTGGTTGTGTTGTTTTGTTTGTGCTCCTTGGTCATTCGGTTATATGCCCTGAATATGGAAGAAAGACAGAAAAAGGATTAATTTAGCCGACTGATTAGTTAAAACCACGAGTGTTTGACAGCTTTACTAGAAAAATGACTTTTGCCTCAGGTGTATTGTTGGTTGAATAAAAATATTTAGACTACCATCTTATTCAAAACTGCAAATAATACATAATTACACAGATGTTTCCATCAGAAATGCCAGATACATGTACACAAGTTTGAACACTAACGCACTGGTTTAAAAATCAGTCTTTTGTACTACAAGCTTCTCAACCAGTTAAAAATGATGCCAAACGGGCTCATTTTCAAACTTTATTATACCGCAGGTATTTTCCCCAGAAAATGGAAACAGATTTTTGTCAAGAATTTTTTAGGAAATACCAGGAATTCAATTTCCAGTATTCAAACCAACTCATGCTATGATTCTTCACGGTCAACTGGCTGGCTAATTAGAAAAAAATGGAATGTCATTCCTTGCGGCGAAACAATTGAAATTCCTGTTTTTCCTGGACAACGTCCACAGCTCGGAGATCATTTCAGAATCTTGAACGCTCTTGTAACCAAATTCATGTGAACCCAAGAGGCTGAAAATGCTCAGGTTCCTCCTCCTGTAGCCAGCTATAATTCTGATGTGTGCTGTCTTGGATTAGTGCTACAGTCAGACCAGAAAGTGGGTTGTCACTGACCAACTGTACAAAATATGGTTGCTCCATTACAGAGTACTGCTACAGCAGCCAAAAAAGAAAGGCAGAAAAAGGTTTCCATAATCTCTAAGTGAAGCGATGGTTTCAGTGATCAGACCAGATCCAGCCCTGCTCCACCACAAAACGTCCTGACATTTTTCCTGCAGATCTGCTGGAAATACTTGGCAGTAGTTAGTATTTTATTAGTTTATATTTGATTAGCATTTATTACTAGTCAACATCTGGGGGTGAGAGATCTAAGTCTGAGGGTCAGGTGGTCAACAGCTGATATAAAAATATTACTGAATCCCAATTACATGCATATTTAAGAAGAAAGAAGGTAAATAAAGCAAAGTAAAGTATTTGACACTGATTATACCTACCCACTGCTGTGCATATAATAATAATAATAATAATAATAATAATAATAATAATAATCATTATTATTATTATAAAGACATCAATTTAGTTCATGATAACACTCACTAATCAGTATTTTGAGATGTGATCATCTGTTATTGCACAGAAGAAAAACAATATTTATGGTTTCCATAAGTACATTGGAAGGTTGGAAATTTGAATATATCTGATTGGGGGCATATGTCCCCTCAAATATATATGATGATTACGGCCCTGGAAAAAAAACACTTGGTAATTTTAGAGAAGTGACCTATTCAAGTGTCTGTTCTTCACTCCACTTTCTGTATGTACATTAAAGCCTCCTTACTTTAATTTCATCATTTCTGAGTTATGTGCCAAATAACATTACAGAGATGTTATGAGTGGTCAGGTGTTTATGTTAATGTCAAGGCAACGTGCAGATGATAAAAAGGTCATCCCAGGCTGTTTCAGCCTTTGCCCGACTTGTTAACTAATCTGTGTGCCCTAAAATAGCGCTTTAACTGCTTATTAGCGACTTCAAAAATCAAAAATCGTGAACAGTAAGTTAAAAATAAAGTTGTGGGGAAAACGTTTACATGTTTTCATGAGAACCTGAAAAATCACTGTGCGATTGCTTCTACGGTCAGTTAATTACACACCAGGTTCTTCAATGACTTAATTAACTGCCCAATTAAAAAAAGTTTATTAGGGCACTGAGGGGCAGTAACTCACCCAGCAGCCCCTCAAACTGCTCGATGGCCAGCACCGCGTTGTCCTGCGTGCTGTGGTGGAGATGGTTCGGCATCTTGGTCATGTTCCAGGGCATGGACCGGCACAGCGGGATCCGCACAGTCTCGCAGGACGCCGCCCGGACCGCAGCCGGCCACAGCGCGCAGGACACGGCCAGCAGAGACACGGCGAGCCCCAGAGAGAGCATGTCGGTCGGTTCACAGAGGGTACGGGGGCACAGTGAAGTGAGGGCAGCGCAGGTCCGTGCTCCGGTGAAGACTCGCTCATTCACTTCGAGTTAAATCCCAAATTAGACGCGATTTTCCTGCTGATTGGTGCTTTTCTGCTGCTGCCGTCCGGTCCGCAGACAGCGGGAGGGAGGAGCTGCTTTCTTATGCACACTTCAACGTCCTCCTCTTCCTCTATCCCTCCTTCTCTCTCCAGCTCCCCTCCTGGACTCGTCTCACCTCTCCTCCTCTCCTTTCCCCCTTCTTATCCTCCATACTAAAAGATAGATTCCTTTTAGATGAAAAATAAACACGAGTAAAGCCGTGAAAAGCTCGTAGATGTGTGTGTGTGTGTCACTACATTTTACGAAATCAGTGGCTAGACCTCATACAGTTAACTTTAAGAGAAGGTAAGAGCGTGAGAAAAGTAAAATCTGTCTTTTTTTTAAATATTAGAAAACACTTGAAGTGTTATCAACGCCATCTACTGCAGAAAGTGATGTCCGTAACAAATGGGAAAATCCTTGTACCTGACCATTTTCAGACGGTAACGCCAACTTTGGATTTTGTGCTTCAGATTGCTGTCAGTATGTAGGGAGGACGCATACAGCGTGCAGCTGTCAGTAAAACACGGTGGAGGCTCTGTCATGGTTTGGACTGCATTACAGCTGATAGTGTTGTCACAACTGATGATATTATGAATGCAGATTTTGATCCAACATGCCATGTAGCATGTGAATGGCAGTGGCTTCACCTTTCAACATGTCAGTGACCCCAAACACACTGCAGTAAAACCTTGTTTAAATACACATTTCTCAAACACTCTGTAAATATAGTAAAGGTACATTGGAATAGAGAGACACAACAGAACGCTATCAGGACCCAGACCTCAACATCATTGAAGCAGTGGTGGATCATCTTCACAGAACTGAACAAAAGGCAGGAAACGTCCAAAGAAGAGCTTTGAAAGTCTTTCAAGAAACCTGGAGAACCAGTGCTAAAGACTACTTAAAGAAATGAAAGCTGCTGAAGAGAGTTCAGGCTATGTCAGAGAATAAAGGCGGTCATACCAAATGTTGACTTTTAGGATAGTTAAAAATGAACAAACTTTATTTTTGTCATACTGTCTGTTCATGTATGTTTGCATATGCTTCAATAAACTGCTGCAATGCCTCAAGACATTTGAATAGTGTCATTTATAACAATATCAAATTCAAACAAGAACAAACAAAGACAATTTCACAAACTAATCTATACTGATATAACTTTCTGAACCCAGGCATTACATTTCCTGCTATGTTTGGAGTTTAGAAGTCTCAAAGTGCTCTCTTTTGAAAAGTAACCTGTGACAAAAGCTATCATGTAGGCGAAGCAAAAATGTTTTCCTCTGAGGTAAAGGGGAATAGAAGCTGAAATGATTAAAAATAAAAAATATGCATTTAAAGTACAAACACAGACACATCTTATCACAAAGTCTACAACTGATCAAGACTAGATTACAAATTGTCCACTGGAAGAAGTCTCTGTAAAACAGATTCTGTATCTGCATATGCAGAACAGATCGTCACCAGTGCATGGGCACAGAAGCATAATCTTTATGAAAATTCAAAATGTTTACAATGAAAAGCTGAATAGAGTTTGATCCAGCTCTTTGGTGTGAGCTAAACTGTGACATCCCCTCATTTGTTGTAGATCAGAGGGTGGAGTGCTACGTTATCATCTAAAGGCTACCAGGTTGAGTTAGAAAGCTCTATGACTCTATGGACACTGTTAAGTAGTACCAAAGGCCATATTATTTGTCAGACAGCACCAAAGTCAAGCAAAGTGGCCACATCCCAAAGGAAAAAAAACCCCATACAGTTATTATGAAGGAGAAAGTTAGCTATAGAGACCTGCAAACAGCCTGCTATAAAGTTTGAGATTTTGGGGACTGATTTGCTTTTGGAGCCAGACCCAGGTGGTCGTTTGAGGAACCACCCGGGTCACTGCACCTTTTTTCAGCCCTGGGGGAGCTACGGTTGGTACTGCGAGTTAATGAAGTGTGTGAGAAAACAATAACAACAATACAGAGAAGCTTCCAATAAAAATAGGGATTCCCTGTGGAATAACTAAAGGAAACAGAGAGCAAAAGTAGGACCCACACCTGAAATTAGCAAAAAAAATGAATAAAACAAAATTTCACATTCTTTCACGTGGTTGTAGTCTTACACTGTGCTCTTACAGTTGTTGCAAAGACAATCAGGCACTTGATACGACCTGCTAACAGCAAGTACTGGGGACCTGTAACTGGTTCAGTGGTTCACTGGCCGTCGACCTTTGACCTCCGCAGGCTTGTTGCATTAACAGCTCTGTTATTGGTCCAATAAAGCTGAAAATGACGCAGCAAACTACAGCAGTGTGTGTGTGTGTGTGCATGTGTTGACAGCAGTAATGGTTGTCAGATGTTGGAGGAGCTTCCCATGTTAGGGTTGAGTTACAGCCAGCACGCACACACATGCACACACACACACAGACACACACACACGGACATGGTCTCTCTGGGTTTTGTGACTCATGGATCAACAAGCAGATAACTGAGTCAGCCCTTTCCCTTCTATCCTTCCTTCATTCCTTCCTTCCTCCCTTCTTCCTTTCCACCCTCCTCTCACTATTGCTTCCTTCTTCTGCTTTCTCTCCGAAGTGTGTTTTTTCTTCTGACGTAAAACCCCTCTCGCATTTGGCAGGAAAATCTTATCAGAGGAATGAACACACACACACACACACACACACACACACACACACACACACACACACACACACACACACACATTAACTGTTTCTTGCACAGTGAATGCACATTCCAGTGAAAGTGAAAAAACCCTGCTCATTTTCTCTCCTCTCCACTGTCTGAGAAGCAAAACAAACCCGCAACCTGACTCCGTTGCGTGAATGTGTGTTTGCACCTCTGTCCTTGTGGGATCCAGTGTAAGTTTTGGGACAGACCTCCAAAGGGGTTCAGGTTAGAATGAAGTTTAGGTGCCTCAGCACACACTAACATGTGTGCTGAGGGAATGAAAATTTCAGCCAAAAGAAAACTCTTTCTCTCTGTATGTGGACATATTCTTGGAAACTACCAGAATCTTTTCCAACAAAAATAAGACTGCAGCTGTCCACACACACACACACACACACACACACACACACACACACACACACACACACACACACACACAGTACAAGGACTGAAAGTAATCTGGAATGATTACTGATTTTGCTACAGAGCCTGAAATTGGAGCTAAAAACGTGAGTATTGCCCTGAGGGTGGTGTTTAAGGAGAAGTCACGGGGGCGTTAAAGGAGAACTGATTTCACATCGCACTCCCATGACACTGTCAGTTTCATGATGGATAGTTTTAAAAAGTAACTGCAGCAGAATCAGAAAAAGTGTCCTTTTTGCTTTCATATGATCTTCTTCCTTGTTGACAGCATTGCCTACATTACCCACAATGCAGTTTCATCTATCAGTGAGATTTAGTCAAAGTCAAATTTATTTATATAGCAGATTTACAGTTTTTTACAGACGCCAGGACACATTTCTCAATACTTAAGTCACTTTTGCAAAACTCTTCACACATTTCTCCTAACTGACCCTCAGCCTGGCAAAGCAGTTCATTTCACATTCAAAATGCACTACAACTACCAAAACACTTCATTCAGGTCTCAAATGAACACATTCCTCCAGAACACTAGCAAAGGTTGACAGCCGACAAACACACTTTGTCACCCACAAAACAATGACCTAAAAAACACTAACAACATGTAGCATTACACAGTGTTTTCCTGTGTAAAACAAGGACACATCTCTGTTTATAATTTCAATATATGTTACTGGAATGAATCAGACATCATGTATTTATGTTTATGTATTTTTATTTTTTTGCACTAAGTAATCCCAAAATACAAGAATTTGTATACACACCATCCACTGATACACATACAATAGTAATGCTAATCTACTCGGTCTCCTCCATTTGGCCACAGGTTCTCATCCACATCACATCTTATGTCATCTAGGGTAATACACCTAGGAAAGAATCTTCTGGCATGCCAGAATTGAAGGAGTTGAAAAATTGAAGGAGTAACAACTGTGTAGATGTTCATCCACAATGAGAATCAGCTGTGGCTGGTTAAACTGCATTGTTAGATTTAAAATATGTTTCAATAAAATATTGCTGTTGGATTTTGCTGTCTTTTCAAGTTTTGCATTGTGTTATTGTTTTGACCATGAGTTTAACAGTTTTGAAAACAGTATGTAAGCACATGCAAAATGTCCTGTACGTACAAAGATTTTTGGCAGTTGTTGTGTCTGAGTGAGAAGATGATTCATGAAATTTGAGAGATGTAGTCATTGAATGCATTTTGAGCCAAGACAATGATAACTGGTCCTCAGTTTAGCCCACATAGACTTCTGTTGTGCTCACTGTGTGAGGAGTTTTGCAAACGTGACCTAAGTATTGGGAAATGTGTCCTAGCGTCTGTAAAAAATTGTAAAACTACAACTGTTGACCGAAGTGCTGTACATTTAAGACAATCAAAAATATAAAAACATCCAAGCCACAAAATAAAAGTGGGTTTTCAGACAGGTTTTGAAAGTGTCCACTGTTGGGGAGGTCCTGATGTGAAGGGGCAGTTTGTTCCACAATTTAGAAGCAGTCACAGCAAAGGCCCGATCTCCTCTCTACTTTAATCTGGACCTCGGGACAGCCAAGAGCATTCGATCCGCAGACCTCAGTGATCTTGCAGAAGTATACGAATTTAAAACATCAGAAAGGTATGAGCGTGCTAACCCATGCAACGCCTTAAAAACAAATAATAAAATCTTAAAATTAGTTTGAAAACTAACTGGCAGCCAGTGAAAGGATGACAGTATGGGAGATATGTGGTCTCGCTTGCGTGTGCCAGTTAGTAACCGTGCTGCAGCGTTTTGGACCAGCTGCAGTCGGCTAACAGATGACAGACTAACATCAGAGTAAAGTTGCAGTAAACTGTCTCTTTCGCTGGAAAGTGTAGGCAACACCAAAGAGCCAAAAACCTTCTTTATGGCTGGTAGACAAGCTGAAAAAGCAGTTTAATGTTTAATGTAAGTGTGAAGGAGGGCACACATTTTGGGATTTTATCCGTACTTTTACATACTTTAGAGATGTCCTATAGGTAAAGATGTCTGTGAAG